ATCTGTTAAAAAAATATAACAGTGGAGGGCAGTGGTGCATGACTGTAATGCCAGCTACTTAGGAAACTAAGACAGGAGGAAAACAAGTTGGAGACAAGCCTAGGAAATTTAGCATGACTTTGTCTCAAAATTTTAAAAATCTTATATGGGCTGAGGATATGTCTCAGTACTAGAGCACATGGCTAGCATATGCAAAGCCCAGAGAACAATCCCCAGTACCACAAGCAAACAAAAAAGATTACTATTTTGAACTTCAGGACTATTTTTATTCAGATTTCCATTAAACATTTGTATGCTTCCTTCAGTGACGTTTACAAGTCTTATCTATATATTACTAGGGAGATGTTAAAGCTGCTATTTAATCCACTGAATACTATTCCATCTCTCTTTGTATATTTTTTGGGGGAGTGCCAGGGATCAAACTCAGGACCCTACACTTATGAAAAAATATTTTAAACATCCTTTAGATCTAGCAATCAACTATGTAGTCAGAATCCCTCAGAATGAGTAATACAGCTTATTCATTGGAATGGAATATTTTAGGTGATTATTCTTTGCCATTTAACACTTTTGTGTAAATATTAAATAAAACTTTTTCACAGTAAATTTTGCAGCTTGGGGAATAATCTGTAACATAATATGCTAGGCCACCTTTCTAAACCATCCTCTTGGACTGTAACTTTAAACCCTTTATTGGAACCAAATAACATTTTAAAAGATCTATACAAGTTGGGCACAGTGGGACACAGCTGTAATCCCAGGTACTTGAGAGACAGAGGCAGGACTGCAAATTCAAGACCAGCCTGGGCAATTCAGCAACACCCTCTCTCAAAAGTGGTGGTGGGGCCTAGTTTTAAGAAGGGGAGGGGAGGGAAGAGAGAGGTTGGGGAGGAGAAAAGAAGGAACAATGGAAAGCATCTATATAGATCTTTTTCTTCAATATTTACAGCCACAGGAACTTCACTGTATGTGTCATCCTTATTTTTTTCACCTAATTAATGATCTCAGCCAAAATGCTAAATAATAACATAACATGAATATAAATATATTTCTTTCTTTCTATCTATCTATCTATCTATCTATCTATCTGCCAAGGCTGAAACTTGGGTCTATGGTGATTATCTAAAAAGCCTTTCACTTTTTCAATCCCACACACGTGGAATATACATGAATGCGCTCTCGGACCACACTATAAGAGCTCAAGTCCTGGCTCTGCCATTGCTCGTGGCATATGAGTATGGGCACATGATTTAGACTGTCTGCCCCTCAATTCCTTTATAAAATGTGGCTAAAAAGGCATCAACCTCATAGAGGTGTTTGGGAGCTAGAATAAGTTAATATATATAAATGTTTATAATAACATCTGCCACAAAATGGGTATAATGTTAGTATTATTTGGATTTCATTCACTTTTGTATTGTAAAATTAACTGGATAAAGCTGATTCTCTTTATTCTTTTCTTGATGATTTATAAAAACAAGAAAAAATACAGTTTGAATTTTGTTCTGAACCATTTAGCTATGGTCTAACTAGAATCTAGCTGCTATATTGGGAACAATTTTCTTTCTTTTGCCAAGATTTGTTATCTATATACATAGATAGATATATAACAATATATATAGTACTTTCATTTAATACTGATTTATATTATATCTCCTCTGATTTAGCTTAAATGTGAATGAAAATTCTAAGATGGTATTAGCACTGTCTTTTTATATCCCTACAAGAGTTAATACAAATATAATCAAAATGAATTTAACTGAATACTAGTTAGCTCATATTTTCATTGCTTTGGATTCTGTATTCCACTTCAGACATGTTCGTGGCTGAATTATGATCTGACAATTGCCTGCTTGTATGGTGTAGAAACACAATTATTTCATTTGCTTAACTTGTTTAGTTGGCTTATATTTATTGAATGAATACTATAATGCATGCTTTTAAAATTAACATTCATAATTTATTACATCTGTTATTATTGATTGTCCTTTAAAAAGAATTCACTTAATATTAATTATACATTATAATTAAATTAATTAGGTAATTAAATAAAATATTTAAGTGGAAGAAATAGTATATATGGCAAGACAAATGGTACTCCATTCAATGTAGCAATTTTAACCAGTGAACTGATTAACTTGTCTTTGTGCTAACCGGTGCCATCTTACTGTATTACAGTAATACAATAGCTATACACTGTGAACTTTTATGTACAAGTTTTTCTCCTTCACATGATATAGACAATCTCTTATGAACCATTTATTTGCTTTCCACTGGTTATATTACGCAAAGTAGTAATGGAGTTGTTTGAATTTCCATTGCTAAATGTGTCTCTTGGTCTGTGCTATTTTATTTATTTATTTATTTTTGGTACTGGGAATCGAACTCAGGTCCTTGCACTTGTGAGGCAGGTGGCAGAACCACTGAGCTAAATCCCCGGCCCCTGTGCTATTTTAAATTAGTGCTTTTTACCCCCTCCAAATCAGCTTGTCAAGGAATATGACAGCTGCAATATAAAGGGTGACTGTGTTAACAGGCAAACTCATTACAAAATATACTTTATAGTTAACTAAATAAGTGCAGCTTAAAGCTGTAACTTAATAAAATTCTGACTTTCACTTGCTTGATTTTGTCTTTATAGTATCACAATAATAACCAAGTAGAATAATCTTGTCCTCCTTGAGCTTAAATTTCCTTATCTGTAAAACTTCCCTTCTCTCCAGTTCTGAGTCTGTTCTTCTAATACTATTTGCCTTACCTCTAGAATTAATGTGGTTTTAAACTGTAGATGACTCAAAACAAACCAAGATACCTGTTTATTTAACTGTTACTTGAAATAGTGTAGAAACATAGAACTTACCCTTTAAAAAACACTCCTTCTTTAGAATCATGTAATACAGATCATCTTAAACTTTTGCATCATCAAGTTCTCGGAAATACACAGATATAACTATTATGATTTCAATTAACATTTTACAAGGGTTAATCTACCCTAGTTTATGCAAAGTGGAAGATTGGAGTTCTTTGTAGTTCCAGTGAGAAATGTGTAGGAAGACTAAGATAACCTTTGCTTTGTACTTACCACTATTTTAGATAAATGCTCCATAATGGAATAACCTTAGAGATTATGCAATTTAAAAGAATGACAAAATTTGTAAAACTTCTATTCAGTTTTAAAAATACCTTTAATTTGAAAACTTAAGGAGCTTTGATTTGAAAATATTTATTTCTCAATCAAGACACAGGGTGGCGCTGCAGGCTAAGATTGTAAACCCAAAAAAGAGTACCAAGAAGTTCCCGTATTCCTTTGTGTTGGGAGCCATAATAAAAACGCACAAGAAGCGTTGCAAGCCATTCAGGATTATCAACGGGTGTGGAAAGAGATATACTAAACGAATTTGACAATAAAAGCAATATTGTGGCGATTCCTATCAGCAAGAAACTAGAATTAAATGTTGCAAGCTTTTTTTTTTTTTGCAATCGCTGGAGGAACTGGATAGAAACACCCTGACTTGAGAATGGAGAAGCTAGGCGGAATTCATCCAAGCAGGCAAGTACGGGCTTTTATTTTCATGATATTTTTATCTCGGGTTTCCTTGGAGCCTATTCGTTATTCTGTGCCCGAGGAAACTGAGGGAGGCGCCTTTGTAGCTCATCTGACCAAGGACCTGGGCCTGGAAAGAGGGGAACTGGCTGACCGGTCAGCCCAGGTAGTGTTTGACGATGATAAGCAGCATTTGTTGCTGGATCCTCAGACCGGAGATTTGCTGTTAAGGGAGACACTAGACCGAGAAGAGTTATGTGGACCTGTTGAACCCTGTGTGCTGCATTTCCAAGTGTTCCTCGAAATGCCAGTGCAATTTTTTCAAGGGGAATTATGGATCCAGGACATTAATGACCATTCTCCGATATTCCCTGATAGGGAAATGCTCGTGAAAATACTTGAAAACAGCCAGCCAGGGACTGTATTTCCCCTGAAATTAGCTGAGGATTTGGATGTGGGCAGCAATGGGCTTCAAAACTACACAATCAGCCCTAATTCTCATTTTCACGTTCTCACTCGAAATCATAGTGAGGGCAAGAAATTCCCAGACTTGGTGCAGGACAAGCCGCTGGATCGGGAGGAACAGGCTGAGTACAGTTTAACCCTCACGGCTCTGGACGGTGGGTCTCCACCGCGGTCTGGCACCGTCATGGTTCAAATCCTCATCATGGATGTCAATGACAATGCCCCCGAGTTTGTGCACACCCCATATGAGGTGCAGGTCCTGGAGAACTGCCCCTTAGATTTCCCTATCCTCAGCGTCTCAGCTAGAGACATGGATGCTGGGAATTTCGGGAGTGTTGCCTATGGCTTGTTCCAACCATCAGATGAAATTAAACGAACTTTCTCAATAAATGAATTCACCGGAGAAATCCGACTGAAAAAGAAACTGGATTTTGAAAAAATTAAGTCTTACCACGTGGAAATTGAAGCCACGGATGGAGGAGGCCTTTCTGGGAAAGGCACAATAGTCATGGAGGTGGTGGATGTGAATGACAACGCCCCTGAACTCACAGTAACCTCACTCACGAGCCCCATCCCAGAAAACGCTCCTGAGACTGTAGTCTCCATCTTCAGAATTCGAGATAGAGATTCTGGAGACAATGCAAAGATGATCTGCTCTATTCCAGACAATCTTCCATTCATTCTAAAGCAGACTTTCAAGAACTTTTACACCCTGTTAACTGAAAGTCCGCTGGACCGAGAGAGCAGATCTGAGTACAACATCACCATCACGGTCACCGACTTGGGCACACCCAGGCTGAGAACCCAGCACAACCTAACCGTGCAGGTCTCCGACGTCAACGACAACGCCCCGACCTTCACCCAGGCCTCCTACACCCTGCTGGTCCCCGAGAACAACAGCCCCGCCCTGCACATCGGCACCGTCAGCGCCACGGACAGAGACTCGGGCGCCAACGCCCAGCTCACCTACTCGCTGCTGCCGCCCCGAGACCCGCAGCCCGGCCTCGCCTCGCTCGTGTCCGTCAACGCCGACACCG